CCCCCCTGGCTGGAGCTCAGCCAGCGCGATGCCGGAGCTGGTGCTGATGGAGTTCGACAGAAGGCGAGACTGACTAGACCGTGTCTCGGAGGGCGATACTCCCGTCTTCAGGAGTCCTGCGGGGTTTCCCGTTAACAGACTGAGGCCTGAAGCTGCAGGCGGTTTGACTTCTGACTCCGGTACATGGTTGGGTCAAAACGTTGAGGACGGAGGTGGATTGACCCCTGCTTGGGGCCTGTAGCTCCCCTGGGTACTTGAGATGCCCGTCTGTGAAGGTGGTGATGCAGATCAGCTGAGCATCAGCGTGGAGACTGATTTGTGTCTATTGGGTTAACTATCTGCATCGGCCACTCTCACCTGTCCCTCTCCTCCTCCTCTCTGTCTCCTCAGGGTTGACCTGGTCCACTCTCTCACCTTTCCCTCTCTGTCTCCTCAGGGTTGACCTGGTCCACTCTCTCACCTGTCCATGTCCTCCTCCTCTCTGTCTCCTCAGGGTTGACCTGGTCCACTCTCTCGCCTGTCCCTCTCTGTCTCCTCAGGGTTGACCTGGTCCACTCTCTCACCTGTCCCTCTCTGTCTCCTCAGTGTTGACCTGGTCCACGCTCAGATCCATGTGGCGGAGGGGAAGTCTCTCCCAGACCTGGGGCTGCTCCAGGAGAACGTCCGCATCAACGGCTGTGCCATCCAGTGCCGGGTCACCACGGAGGACCCCGCGCGCGGCTTCCAGCCCGACACGGGGCGCATCGAGGTACGGTTTTCTTGGGGTCCACCCCTCCCTTGGGCTTGGCTTCTGTGCCTCCCTGCCTGTCCGGCGTCGATGTGAGGCCTCTCCGTGCCCAGCATCCTATAAGCAGAGCAAGCTGGGGGGGGGTCAGGGGAGAAGGGAGCTTTAACAGTGGGGGGGCTCGGCGTTGACCCGACGGCCTCGTCCCGGGCGGACCGCGGTGCCGGTCGGGTCATCCTCGGCGCCCGCGGCTCTCCCCACGGGTCGCCTTCCCTGCCCAGCGCTCGGCTGCAGCCCTGTTCAACCACGCGAGCGTTTCTCGTGTGTGTGTGTGTGGGGCGGGGGGTTGAGGTCGGTTCCGCTCGTGAAGCTTCTGGGTCGGGGAAGCCTTTTATCCCCGATTCTGTTTCGGAGGAGGATGCTTTTTTCAGTCCCAGGTTGGGAGAAGCCGGCCCCCTCCTGTGAAGAGGGGGACGCCGCCTCCGCCTCGTGCTTACGGCCGTCGAGGGAAGCGGACAATTAGGAGGAGCCCCTCGGCTCACCTCGACCCCCCGAGCGTGACTGCAGCAGACTCCTCTCTCTCTCTCCGGCTCGGTCTCGCTCGCAAGTTGCCGGATTGAGCCGTCACTCCCCTCCGCCCGATCCTCCCCGACGCCTGAACGTCGGCATCGGCGCCTTGTGCGTCTTTAATTCTCATCTCTTCATTTATTGATAATTTTTTTTTTTTTGAAACGTCCCGACACGCGCCTCGTTCCCGCACGGCCTTCCGAGCCAGCTTAACACGGAATCCTAAATGAGGGCACTCGGGATGCCGAGAGGCTGATTTTCATCGGGGGGGAGGGACTTAAGAAAGAGCTGCAGTTGCTCTCCCGTGAAGTACGAGCCGTGTTCCTTGAGCGGGAAGGGAGACCCCCGGAAAGCCCATTCCTGTTTCTGGTGGGGCGGCGATGCAGGAGCACGGGATGGAGATTTAAGCGGCGACTCGTCTGTGGCGTCTTTGGACTCCGGGGGGTCCTAGATTCTTTCTCTCGCCCCCTCTCCCTGTCTTTTTTTCCGTGCGGGACATGTCCCCTGCCCCCTCGTCAGTCCCTGCAGCAGGGGGAGGGGTCACCGGCCGTGTCGAGCTGCTCGGCTCGTCCGCTTCCAAGATATCCGAGGATCTTGGGCAGGCAGGCTGCTTGTTCCAGACCCCCACCGCCCTTTGCGTAAAGCGCTGCTCAGTTTTCAACCCTAAACCCACTTCCTTTCTGCCTGTAAGCTCGAGTCTGTCGCAGGCAGTCCTGAAGTAGACAAGTAAAAAAATATAATAAAAATGCTCTTCTGTTGACCCAGAGATGTTTTAGTAAGATGAGGAAGAATAGGCTTGTGTAGTTCATTAGTACATTTGCTTGATTTATCGAAGACCTCGTTTATCATCCAGTTTGTTTATTTAATTATCTGTTGTCTTGAATTGCTGGGCTTGTCACACTCGGATCGTGTTCTGGTCTTTAAAACTGTTG